CCTGTGAGTACCAAAACAATTAGAAGGGAGCTTCATAACAGGGAATTGCTGGCCGTGCTGCAATTGAGAAGCCACTCATCAGTGGTGCTAATGCCGTCGTAACAGGAAAAGGTGGTGTTTAAGTCATAAAGCCTGGACTATAGAGCAGTGGAAGCGAGTAATATGGTTCTGACGAGTCTTCTTTCACATTGTTTCCCACTTCTGGCCGAGTTTACGTCTGGAGAACGCCATCTCAAGCCTATAATACAGACTGCTTGTTGCCAAGAGTGAAACATGGCGGGGGTTCTGTTATGGTTTGGGCAGCCATATCGTGGTTCTCTGCTAGCCCCATGATAACTGTGTCAGGGCACATGACTGCCAAGACTTATGTGAACATTTTGGCCGATCAAGTTCATCCCATGGTACAACCGCCAACATCGTTATCTGAACTTGCCACCGTTTTGCAGGAAGAATGGTATAATATTCCCTTGGCAAACATACAGGAACTGTATTTATCCATTCCGAGAAGACTGCAAGCTGTTTTGGATGCCAACGGGTTTCCTACACCATATTAAGCAAAGAAACATGTTTTTTTAAAGGTGTTTCCATATTTTTGTCCAACCCCTGTAGCTGTTTAATAAAAACAGAAATATGCAGTGTAGGTGCGACAGGTAATTCTGATTAATAAATTAATTCTTTAACTAAACAATGGTCTTACATTTTTGTTTATTTCGTAGAATGTAATGTTTTTTAGAAATGAAACCAATACGAAACTGCTTATGCAAATTTAGAAATATTTTTAAATTTGTTTAACAATTGTTTATAATTTTTGTTAGATTTAGTATTAAACGACATTTTATCGCGATTATTGTTAGGGAAAATGTTAATTATTATAAATTAATAAATAAGACGTATATTTAATGACCGAAATAAGTTAAAGAATAATATAATTTTTTCTTAAATGACTTGATATTTAATTAGCTAACCAATTAGCATTAAGCTAATGAAATAGGAATTATCGAAATCAAATGATACTACTAGGAAATTGATAATATTTATTTTCAGTCATCAAGTTAAATTTCAGTTTATTTAAAAGTAGAAATACGGAACTTTGAAATCATTGATTACTTAAAAAATAGTGGAAAAACATCAATAAGCTCAAATTTATTTTAAAACTATTGTGATAAAAATTTATATTAAATTTCGTTTTCTAATTTCTGCAAAAATATCATTTTCTAATTTATTTTTCTGAAATACGCAATCTACGAAAATTTCTCTCCTAATGGTGTATCATTTTTATCCCATAATCTATCGATTGGTTCATTTTTCTAAGAATAATGTCAAAGAATGAATAAAAGCTTTCACTCATTGAAGAATAATACAAACTCGAAAAATTTAAAAGTAATTTGCAGTAAGCTTGGATTTCTAATAATGTTTCATCTATTTAAGTAATTTAAATTTCAGAAAAAGCTTATAGTATAAAATAATTTACTTATGAAAGCTGATGAGCAATTGTTATTGAATCAATTATTTAGAAAATTTGATAGAAACATTTAGTAAAATAGTGTGAACACTAAGAGATATACTACAAGGTAAATGTTTTGTCTACAGATATAATCTGATCCATTCATGAAAGACACTTCGGTGTGATTTAGTGATATTCACTCTTCTAAAATTCTATAATTAGTTAAAACTGTGAGGAAGAACTACGATTTAATTTTCAGAATATATCTATTCTAACTGTAAAAAGATTAGAAAAAGGATATGTGCTTAATATCAAAGGTTTTTGATAACTTTCATGCTTATTCACTATAGAATACAATTTGTTTTGTTCATTTACTGTCACAAAGCTTACAGAACGGAACACGGAGTTATAAGTAGTGAAAGCAATGTGAAATAGTTCACATTTTCACCAGTGTTTCTCTAAAACGAATGCGTTTTCTCATATTTATTTCTTTCAGGTTAACTTTCAAGTTAGCACTCAATTTTGGCGATTTCAAGAATATTAGCTTCAAAATGTGATTAATAAATCTAATATGCCAAGTTCAAAATGTGATTTGAAGTTAAGATGTCAAGTGTGGTTAGTAATGAATGAATCTAAATCATGTATAGCTGATACAAATCTTTCTATGGCTTTAATTGAAAAGACGGGCATTGAAACGAGAAAGCATTGCATTCACGGTACAGCCATTAATGCAAATGGAGAAAAAGCGATTACGATGTACATAGATTTTCTTGTTGCTAGACGCAATGAAATGCTATTTAACTCTTCTGGATAAAAACTGACTCTTTAATTAAATTCAATGCACATTATGAATAATAATGCTTGACCCCACTTATATAATAATCCGTCATAAACTCCATTAACAACTATGACCTGCGTTACATATCACAATGTTGTACTATCTGTGTATCCGAAAACCTTTTGAAATACTGAATTATAACCGACATTCGGGATTTTCTAATATTTGTAGAATATAAATAAGGGGTTTTTAGCATCACCTCCTTTAAATAAATCTTGATTATACTGAATACTAATCACTAGGATCTTTCATTATGTAAACTGTGTACTCTTGGGATATGAAATGCATTTTAACCTCACCTGGACAAATTTCTTTTTTCTCGAACTTAACCTACTGACAGTTCGGGTGTTTGAAAGATTTAGAAAATCTATCAAGAAAATCTCTTTTCAAGCTCCTCAGCTGATATTTTTTGCAGAAGTGCTTATTCCAAGCATGGTTTCAGCACAGAGAGAAAAAAAATCATGTAAACTGGTTTACGTTTTACTTAATTATTTAATTACCTTGCGAGGTTATTATTTGAAACTAATCAGTTATTTATAATTTTAGCCGTTATTTTAACTGCTCCTTTTCATTTCCTCACCAAAATACAAATCAGTTTAAGCTTAGGTTTTTAGATTGTAAAGAAGAGCGCGTTTCTGCCTTTCGCGGAAGTTACGTTAGTTCCTGCCAGCTCTGTCTTATAATGTTTTGTAATTATTCGGCTTTGCGTTATTTCTGCCGATATTTGAATTTGATACGCCGGTTAGAAATTCTGAGCCACTTTAGATTTGAATTTAATTGTGCAGTCTTTGACTACTATAGGTTTTAAAGTCTAATTTGACTGTTACTTTAGTCTTGTTAGCACAAGAAAGTGCATTTATGCTCAAGGTTCATGTATAAATAAAAAGGTTCATTTTAAATATTTCCAAGACTCAGTAGTTATTTTCAAGCATAGCGATTTTTCGCTTTACGTTTATTAGGGTTTGTCCATTTTAACTTTTACTAGATCAAGTAAAACCTGTTACAGTTTTTTCAAAAAAAATTGTTAATACAGTTCTCATTATTTATGATTACATTTTATTAAATTCTAGATTTCAGATTAATTTTGACATATTTGATAAAATTAAATTTTAATCTTTCTGAAATACCTATTGTTGCATGCCCAGTTCCGTATTGCATGCATTGTAGGAATTGACAATTAGTTACATTAATCCAATCATGTGATCTTTTCGTGTAACAAAGAATGCCAAGATTACGATAAGATCTGGGTTTAAAACGGGTAATGTACTTTTCTAATATATTTTAGTTTGCAATGTGAAATACATTATTTGCTAGTTTCTCTTCTGTTACAAATTCTATATTAACATCTAATTTTGACACTTAAGTTATTCCCTTTAAAACGTTTGCTAACAATATTTTTAAACATTGTATGAAATAATCTATTGTGTGCGTATCTCGTAAGTTATTTCTTGAAAATTCTAAATTTCTTTTATGAATATTTCTGATATTTAAGTAAGTTATCAATACTCATCACTTTATATTATTTAACTACGCTTTTCGCCTGTCAAATTATTTTAAATAATTGTACTTAATGAAATAAATAATTAAAATTCTTTTTGTAAGTAACATGGCATGATTATTCGATTTAAACAAATAATTGAATTCATGTGAAAAATAAAACAGAATTCATAAAGAGGTATTTCTTATATAGATGATTTACGAACTAATGATTTGTATCTGCTGCAGTGAATAAAATAAGCAATAGGTTTTAAAAAGTTGCATAATTAAATTTCACTTTTCCTTTTTTCTCTTATAGCATTCTGGGATTTATGTTGATTATCATAAAATCAAGAACCAACAATACAAATATACATTTTGGAGAAATTAATAATGATAATAAGCATACAGATTCCGCTATATGCAATAAACAGTTCCTATCTGAGAAGGCAGATCTTCCATATTTGGTGTAGGAACAGACTAGTATGGTAAGCATTTATTTGACTATTTGGTACTTTTTTTCGTTTCGCCGGCGCAAATCTCGCTAAGCAGAATTTATTGGCGACAACATACAGTATACACATGAAAAATATTAAAAAAATGTTAGTTCTAAGAATTCTTTTTTTGAAGGCATAAACATTTTAATATCGCTTAAAACTTATAAAAAGCCGATAAATAAAGACAATAAATTTGTAAAAAAAAGACATTAATTTAAGAATTTACTATGCTTTCATGGTTCAAAATCCTAATTCGCCGGTTTTATATCACGTGACCCCAAGCGATCTCATCTCACGTAAACTACTCTACAAAAAATCTAATGCTCTCAGTAATTATCTACATTAATTTCAAGTTAAATCTTAATTTGGAACACAAGTTTAAATGCAAGAAATATTTCAATTCGTACGAATAGCTTACTACTCAGAAATTATGTAAAAACTGCAGTGCTTTACTTCGCTAATGCATTCTTCATTAGAATTGATGAATTTAACCCTTGACTTTACCTTTTCTATATTTTCGGCTTCGGGTAAGCGCTGTGATTGCATCCTAATTGACTTAATTACCGAAAATGGCCTTAGACATAAAACTGAACTATCTGATAAAAATTCTATGTAATTATATGCCAGTATTGAAAGAAACAATCAGTCTGATAAGAAAAAGCTGCGACTTGTTTTCAAAATGAGGCGTAAAAGGTTACCAGCTAGAAAATTCCGTTTGGCATCGGTTGTACCATTATTGGCGACTTTATCGCTTGCGCCGGCAAAACGGAAAAGTACCGACTATTTTATGGGGGGAAATAAATTAAAATATTCTAACAATTGTTCACCACACACATTTATTCAATTTCTTTACTGCTCATGTGAGACGGTGACTTGGAATCAGTTGAATAATAACAAGTATTTACTAAAAACAAACAATTCCTAAGTTATTCCAGCACAAAATGACTAAAATCTTTCAGCAAATTATTTGGTTTAAAGGAAAGTTAATCCTTCTTTCATAATCCTTCAAAGAATCTTAAGAGGGCAAATATTTAACGTTCAGATGAAAGTTAGAACATGCAAGAAGGAGAATTACGAAATAGCAAAAATCCATCTCTAATCTGTCTAGTTTGGACACTCTGAGAGTTCCAAAATATTTGCAATTGTTTTTGTAATAATTATCTGTGCGTTTGTCATGAGTTTAATGTATTGATCAAGTCAGTGAAAATTCAAATTAGTTGGCTTATATTAGTTACTAGAGGGCTCTATTATTTTATGTATAAATATCAAAGTAATTTTTAAATTTTAATTTTTAAATTAAATTTTAATTTATAACGATAAAGCATTAAGTAAGTTTGATTTCAATATACGCTGTCCTTTTTAAGAGTAACGCAAATAAATGAAGCAAATGGCAACTTGAATTTTTTAACTGACAACACTATAAAAAACTTTAAGAAAATCTGGCATCAATAATTGCTGCTGTTTCAATAATAAGATTAAAAAATGAAATGAAAGCATTTTTAAATGTACTTTTCATTTAAAAATAAATAGTTCTCACGATGAAAGAGGTGACAGCACTACAGACATATATCAAAAGTAAAAGTTATTTACTATTTTTTGGTTCGCGCTCGTTTGGATGTTTTTAAAAATGTAACATAATTTAAAAAATTTTCTCTAAAAGGAAGAAAAATTATTTACGTACTGCATAAGATTTCCATACTGGGTAAAAGGAATTCAACTTTACCTCTGGCATTTAGCAGTTATTTATGATTGGTGCAACTAGATCTGATATAGGAATATTAATAAAGAAATATTTGGTTTATTATGGAAGATTTGCCTCCCTATTTAAACATTAAACATAATACTTTTTCGTAAACGCAATGAAAATTAAAACAACAATTAGTGTCGTCATTGGCCGATAGAGGGCGCCATCACCAGTATTGCAGCCGTCTTCTTTACAGCAGGTGAAACAGTCGAATTCCTCCTTGCTACGATCGCAGTGATCAAGTCCCAATCCTATGCTTTGCGAAGCATCTCTGAGAGCACAGGGTCCTAATGCACAACTTTTACGAATCCAAAATCCTTTAGATTCTGGAAAAAAAAAATAAAATAAATGAAACCAAAAGATAGTGAAGCGCACAATAGTTTTTCTTACCACTTTGAAACTTCAGTTGATTTAAGCCATATTTAATTTTATAATTTGAGATCATTATTTAATTTAATCTCCTGAAAACATAAGCATAATTCGTTAATCAAAGCATGTTAAAATAAATACAAAAATATACAAATGAAAAGCAAAAACTGGGTAGTATCAAGATGCAGCGAAGCGAATTAATAATAAAACATATCTTATGTTAAAGTGTGAAATGGAACTTTTAAAAAGTCTTTTAAATCGTAAATTAATGACCAGAAAAGAAAACTCCGAATATACTTCAAAAGTGTTATACTTCGAATTTTTCATCAATATGTTTGGGAAATGTTAAATGCTTTATCTTCAGTGACCTTATATGCATTTTTTTTTATTTATATCTTCCATATTACATTTATATTCCGTACTGTATTAAATACCCGAGGAGACATTTGATACACCGCAATCTGTCTATGATATCCCACACCGGTTCAGTCGGGTTCTAGTCTAGTAAATGAACTGGCCAACCCATTAGAGTTTTACAGTCAAAAGTCTTTAATCCGGACGTCCATAATCCGGAATGATCTATAATCTGGACCTCAAAGCTACAAACTTGCTGCGCATGCGTAAACGCATTTTATCTAATCATCTATTTCAGTTAATATTGCAGACTGCGTTGTTCCTTAATCTTCTAATTGGATCCGGCTTGTTATTTTTTGCAGACTGTTACAGCAATTTTATAAAAGTAAGCTTATGTCAAAAAAGCAATTATGTCAAAAAGAATTTCCGATTCTGGAGCTGCCAAAGGATCTACAAAGCGAAAGCATGTTTCGATGTCTATCAAACAAAAAGTGGATAAAGGCATATCCTTTGTTTCTCTAACCATTCCGAAATCTGTTTATATTACTTTGAGCGTGATAACGCATGGAATGTTATTCTTTTTGGATATGTTTAGAATGCTAAATAAAATAGTTCGTTGTTAATTAAAAAGGTTTTCTCTGCTAAATATATTACCATTCGTCCGAAGTTATTAAATAAGTTAAGAAATTGATTAATTTCAAACATTAACATCAATGTTTGTGCTCTGATAAAATTAACATACCGTATATGCTTGTGTAATTCAATAAAAATTTACAGGGCATTTTTGCTTGAACATTACACTGTATTTACTCTTAATTCTTACCTTTACAATATACCGGTACTTGTAGTTAACACTAGAATAGAAAATAGGAGAAATCTAACTACCTAGAAATAATTATCAGAAATATCGATAATAGCATTATCTTTCTATTAACACCTATAATCACACTGCTTGTTATACATGCTGTGAACATCACTAAACACTTGCGTCACTATCACTTTCTCTTTCACTGTTCAATCATTCGATCGTTCTTCTAATCAGTCATTCTATTCCCAAATGAGTCATCTTCAGTGCCATCGATTGCATTTGATATACCAATGACTTTAAAACTCTTGATGATAGTGTCTTCTGAGATGATGTCCCATACCATAATCAGTCATTCGATTCCCAAATGAGTCATCTTCAGTGCCATCGATTGCATTTGAGATACCAATGACTTTAAAACTCTTGACGATAGTGTCTTCTGAGATGCTGTCCCATTCCATAATCAATCATTCGATTCCCAAATGAGTGATCTTCAGTGCCATCGATTGCATTTGATATACCAATGACTTTAAAACTCTTGATGATAGTGTCTTCTGAGATGCTGTCCCATGCCATAATCAATCATTTGATTGCCAAATGAGTCATCTTCAGTACCATCGATTACATTTGAGATACCAATGACTTTAAAACTCTTGATGATGGTGTCTTCTGAGATGCTGTCCCATGCCATAATCAATCATTCGATTCCCAAATGAGTCATCTTCAGTACCATCGATTACATTTGATATACCAATGACTTTAAAACTCTTTGATGATAGTGTCTTCTGTGATGCTGTCCCATGCATGAGAGTGTCCCATACCACTTCAGTAAGTGATGCTCTCTTCAGGCTTCCTGTTGTTTTATAGCATACGAATGTGTGAAATTCCAGCTGCTATAACAACGAACAGATGCGGACATTAAATGAACGCATTCCTTTCGTCTAAGAGAATAGGTGCGGAGATTATACGAGCACTGATATTATATGGACGTACGGTAGTATTAATATTCATGATTTGTAGAGAAGTGAGTTATTTTATAAAAACTGCAGTAAAATGATTCATTCAGCCTGAGGGGAAATTCTTACATTATAGCTCATGTTATTCTTATATTATAGCTCATATTATAGAGCATGCGAATAGTAATCCACAAGTTGGTTGTAAAACTACCAAAAAATTATTTCTTAAAATGCATTAATTCTGCTTACAACATTCTGAGCTAATGTGAAGCAGAAAAAATATTTTAAAATCAAGAGCACTGCTGTGTTGTTAAATATCAATTTCGACACAGTATAGCAAACTGTTTATAAAAAAATATATAAAAGACAAAAATTAAAATCTGAAATGTACACAAGATAAGTAATTGTTATAGTAATTTATTACTGAATAATAGAATTTATTAACGTTAGTTTGAAGAAGTACAGAATGCAGAGATTAATGTAACCATTTCCAAATTATGATGACATTTATTACTCACATCAACATTCGATTGGGTAAACTAATGTCTTGAATACACAAAACAGGCCTCATCTCTTCAATACAAAGTTTTGGAGATTTTATTTTTGATGTTCAAGAGATTAGTGCCATCTCTCAGGTACAGTTGCCACGGCATTACGTCTACATATTCTACGTGATATTTCCAGTCTCCAAATAAATTGAATTTTTAAGACAGTCAGTATCAGGCAGTGTATACGTGAAACTTTTAGCTTATCCTCTAATAAAATCATTTGCTGCATCTTCTAGGTCAATTTATTTTTTGTCTGATGGTAATTAGTGTCTTATATTCAGTTCCCCAAAACCTGCTGTCGTATTCTTTCAAGGATGTAAGTTTTCCCTCATACCCTGCCTTAAACAGCCTTAAAAATTCAATTCGTCGAGAGATGGAGAATGTTACACGTATTACTGTCAGTCGTATCATAGCAAGCAAGCGTACCTGGGAGATGACAGCAATGCCTTAAAACTTCATTGTGAACATCTTCAAGATGTTACATTGAAGAAGTAATACGTATTTCATAAATTCAAAGCACTGATTCATGTATGCATTCAGTTGTCTGCAGAAACAGTATGCAATAAATGTGGCAACTCTCCGGAAGTGCAATGATTTGGTGAAATTCTGTCTGATAAATTATTTAGTAATTGAATTAATATTTCAATTTTTTAAACATAACACAACAGACAACAGTAAAAATAAAACAACAGAATATTTCATCTCTTGAGCTCAAACATATATGGTTCTTACTTGATTTGGAAATTCTTGTTTCACAGCTGTCATAGGCCTGATTATCTGGGCATGGCTGTAAATATTCATCTGTACACAGAGCCAAGTCTTCCACTTCACACTGATAGCATATGCGTTTCTCGATTGCTGAAGCTGAATAGAAGCAAAACATTATGTTGTTTAATATTCCGAAAAATGAATAACAACAATACTTAACAGATTTAACCAAAATACTACTTTAAATTTTCAGTTCCTGAGAATGTTTCTCCCAAATGCAGCAAAACGAAATTTGAAAATGAATATTTTTTAAATGAATTAAATAAAGTAGAGATGAAATTATTAGGATTCCAGATATCCTAAAACCGAGTCACTAAAATATAGCTTGTTCACCTTTGTAGAGTCAGTAAATTAAGCCTTTTGCTTATAAAATGATAATATAGACTACATATTTTTAAAAATCTGTTAAAATAATTTAAACATACCTTTATATCTATATAGAACTACAGGTCCAGGGTTCGATGCCCGGGATGGACAAGGTCGACTCACATCCCCTGGGTCGATAAAATGAGTACCAAGTTCGCTTGGGAACTAAACACTGGGGGCGCTGCTACAAGCTGACCACTTGTTCAGGGCATGTACTCACGCACCCCGGAGCCCACGGTCAAGAAAGCAGATTTCGGGACACTGCTGGCCTTGGCCCATTAGGGCTGTTGCGCCACTGAGTTTAGTTTTTATATATCTATATACGTATATTAGGCATATATTTATGTGTATATATATACAGAAAACAAGTAGATTCCACTACTTTGTTTGATGAATATATAATCAATAATTATTAATGATAAAATTACGCACACTGTACACTGCATAATAGCATTCTTCATTCACTCTATGAGTTATTGCTTATTAAATTTCGTTATTTTGTTGCTTTACAACAATAAAACAGTAATGTCATACGAGCTGTAATTAAATAGAAATAAATTTAAATTTTAGAGTAATAAAAATAAAACCAAGATTGCGTGCTTAGTTTCGCGCTTACGTAAATAAAAATTAATTTCTTTCTTGTACTTAGCTGAAACAGATATGAACTCTATGTTTATGTAAACGAAAAACAATCTCACACAATAATTTTATCCAGAAAAGTATGTTTTGTGTTTTTTCATGAAAATAAAAACATTTTATTTTTTAGCATTACAACCTTCGCTGAAATGGAACATGACCCACAGAAATATGAAATTGTCTCATTTGTAATACGTATTTGTCTTGCAGAAAGTGGCAACTTATTTTTGTGCCTTTTTCGAATATCCAGGTGGCCTGCAGCACTTAAAATCTCTGAAAAAACATTCATTTAAAAAATATTTAGTTGTAGATACAATTGACAATAACACAAAGGGATTCTTAAAGAATTAGCAATCAATGCAAAAAAAAAAAGAAAGAAATGCAGCAAATTCTATAATTCTTTATCCATATGTATATGCAATTATTGCATTCTAGACTCATAGAGGAAGGAGGAAACGCCTATTTTAAAACTAAGCCCATATCATCATTATTTGTTTTTCAAAAGATTGTTTCGAGTTCAAGAAAACCTGACATGGAACTCTTTCTTTTCCCTTCCCCTCCTACCAGAAGTACTTTAGATCCATGGACCTTATAAGAAATAGACTACCCAATTGGTTTTCTCCCTCGTCTGAGGCGATCTCGGCTGTCACCTTGATCACATCCGAAGGAGTAGGGACGACTTGCAGAAATTTAACAGTGGTTGCCTATTGCAGCGTATATAATTGTCAAGAAAAAGCTGGTTGTAGCGCCTCATTTCACAAATTAGAATATCTACATATTTTTATTTTTGAAATTGAGATTGATTTTTAAAAATTTAGCATATTTATCAATATTTTATTGGAAAAAACTGTGGCTTTCATAATCTCATCACTATACAACGTATCACATTTAATAATTAAAAAGAGTTATGTGATACAAACGCCATAGGTTTCAGTGTTAAAGTAAACCAGATCGTTCCTACTCTTTCTTGCCGACATGTCGGTGACGCGCGCCCCGCCCACTGGGTTAGTCTATCTCTTATAAGGTCCATGTTTAGATCATTTTGACAAAATAAAATGAATAAAAATAAATAAACAATAAAACAAAGTAGCAACTCCATTGAACAAATTGATAGGAATTCCATTGGTCATCCATTGGACAAATGGGAAAGAAAAGCATTATAAAATTATATGAAAATGGGGAAAAGCCAGCTATTTAAGCGCCTGTTTAAGAGATGTAATTTCAGGAAAATAATGCAGAATATTTTCATTTCTGTCTCCTAAGTGGAAGCCGTGACAGTTTCGATCGAAATTCATATTTTATGAAATTAACCCTAGTTTGTAGTTGAAATTTTGCATTTAATTTAAGCCTGTGAATTTATTATAAAACTGCTCATATACGAAATCACATTTTTGAAGTCATGTATAAAATACTAATAATTTTATTGAAATAAAGAAAAATAGTAATACAGAAAAATACTGGTATAAAGAAATTAATAGCATTAAGGAATTTTATTTGCTCAGCTAGTTTATTTTTATTGGATTATAGAGTTTTGTTTTCTTCGTTAGCATAAATTGGTATCCAAATTCCTAACAGATTTGGAGCGAATTACCGCTCGTCTGTAGAGAACGACGAAGACTTGAGAAGGTTACAAAAAACTTATTTATTAAATCAGAACCTTAAAAATAAAATACACGTTTCGGACTTGACAAAGTCAGCCAACCACTCGTGGTGAGATAACTTAAAATTAACTGTCAAATTCAAACTGAAACTAAATCTAGTCAAAGATTACACAATTTTTTTACAGCGAAGATGGCTCTAGTTTCTCACCAGCGTAACATTTTAAATGTCGGCAGTTACGGTGCAAAGCCGAAGATTACAATCTTTCCCGAGCTAGCGAAACCTAATAACGTGGCCTCAAGAAGTAGAAACACGCTCAGACTTAAATCCAAAAGCCGCAGCTCAAATACAGTACGAAGTCCGTAATCTGGACGTCCATTATCCGGAATGATCTATAATCCGGACCTCAAAGCCACAAACTTTACGCATGCGCGTAAAGAATGCGCGTAATGTATGCTTCACGCATGAGTGCGTTGAAAGAAATGTTTAATAAAGTAAACAAATAAATATTAACCTTTTTTGTAAAATTTGATATCCTTTAGATCATAATTGCTCTTTATTTCATAAATTACGGTTTCATATTTTTAATTGTATAATTTCTGCATGCCATCTTACCAGATTTAAATTGATGATCTATAATGGAAAATCCCTTAATCCGGAAACGCAGAAATCCCGACGAGTCCGGATTACAGACTTTGTACTGTACTATGAAACTAAATTTGCATTCTGGTAGAGAAACGGAAGGTATAAGTGACAGTAAAGTTCTAAATCATAATAATTGGTTACATTAATGTAATGGAGCGTTGCAAATTTATCTTAAACTGATAACTAAATAAATAAAGCAAACTGCCTTGAAAGTAAACTATCTAGGTTAAATAACCTTGGCAGCAATATGGTCTGCCAAAGCAATCTTGCAAAACCGTGGAGTTGCGACTCAGTTTAGGGTGTGCATCAAGAAAGAAATTATTAAAATTATCTACTAATGCCGTTTATTTTCTGATTTAGTATATCCTATGTATTAGTTCAAGCTAAATAAAACCTTACATTGTTAGTTGATAAATTTATCTTAACACAAACGAAAATAAAATATTTCTCTAAACATTTATATATATTTATAATTTTTAACCCCTCGTTTCAACTGCATGGTAATTGAAAGTCTCTAAATTAAAATAACTTTCCTGTTTGATCGTATTCAAAAAAAGTTTGCACACCACTGCCTTGAGGCAATATAATTTGCAAGCAGATTAAGTACAGTACAAGATGATAATTATTCAGGTCGACATTGCCGCTATTAATTATCTCAAAATTGCAAATTCAACGTCTTATGCCAAAATTAATTAAACATAAGTGATCTAATTAATTTATCAAAAGGAGCTACCGCATTTTTCTTATCCAGAGAAATTCTGCAGAAAATTAAATTCCTCACTAATATTTAATCTGGTTACCATGATGAAATAGGATGCATAAAAAATTCATTTGCTTCATTAGTTTTAATATATTTATTACAATTATTTAAAACATTTATTTGATTTAAATCAATTTTCTTATCGAAAATTTTATTATGTTTAACATTTTAATTGTAATATCAGAAAGTTTTCCTGCTCATTTCGCTAATGTAAAATTTTTTGTGTTTTTAAAACATATATAAATTAATTCATATATTTGCTTTAAAAATTCGGCAGATGTTTTTATAAAGAAAACGAACGAAATTGATTTGCTTGAAAAGATAGAATTTAATTAGGATTAATCTTGTTTAAGCTGTTTAAAGTTGAAAAAAGCAGCTTAAAAGGTAAAAATTGTTTAACATTTTCTAGTTTTTTTTTAATTTCGTAATTTTTTAATTTGGATAATATATTACCTGAATCTCCTGTGGCATTTTAAGCCAAAATTACAGCAAATAATGCAGAGGTTGTCCAGTCACCTTAGAATAGTATATTTAGTGACAACATATCGCAAATTTCGGAGGTTTTGCCATGAAATGCTTTGTGGCTCCCTACGTACAGCGTGACGCAAAATTATCTTATTTTAAACGTACATTTGAAAATATAGTTCAGAAATGCTCTGAACAAAAGTTTACGATACTTTGCCATGAAATCATTAATTCGCGAGATCTGCAGCAGAGGGTCTCCAAAAATTTAGCAATTTTGATATTTCTTTAACTTATTATAATAATTTTAGAATTATCAAATATTTTTGTATAATGTATCTGAAAATAGATAGACATAAAACAATAGAGATAAAACAAAACAATAGAAACAAAGAAAAAGCTAAAAGGTTTCGACACATTTTTTTTATAATAGAAACGTTCATTTTGCTTTAAAAATTAAAGTAAATGACCTAAAACTGCAATAGTATATTACAGTACTTCACTCACGCGCGTGTCGGATTTGCACAATGCTTATGGGGGGTCCCACAAAATTTTCGTAAATAAAAATTCCTCACATCAAAAAGTTTAAGAAACTCTGGTGCAAGTAATGGAAATACCGAGAAAATCA